CATCCTGCGGTCTGCCTTTAAACTGCTATGCTCAACTCTCGACGGATTTCCCACTTCGTAAGCTATTTGCTCATGTCAGATTTTTACCTGTAAGCCATGATGTTTGTTAATTTCTCACCTTCGAGTCTCGATGAATTTCGAGCTAACCAGTAGTTTGCTAGACACTTATTTGGCCAGCACTCGTGAGCAGTGGATTTGGCTGTTTTTGCGTAAGCTCCAAGGATATAGATTGCAAGCGAAGTACTTAGGCGTGCACCGATTTAGGCCTCACCATGGCCTTACTGTCTGGATATTGTTTTCATTAGTAGAGAGGGACTTCTTTACGGACCCGAAGTACCCATCGGTCGCTTATTCATAAGAATTGGAGAGTAAACAGAAAATGCCGACCGAGTCTTTTTTCCTTTTTACCACCACTTCGCTTATTTGCTTTACGAGGAACGTTTTTAAAAACGATGAATTCTGTACAGCTGTTTAGCATACGACAGTGCAGTTTCTGGCTCCCGTAACATCATCAATATGCTGTTCGGCAACCGTTGCCTGCCTGTTTGAGTTACCCTTGTCATTTGCAGTCACAGTTATTCCAATTCGAGGCGGATAATGATCATGTGGGTTGGTACTCTAAACCTTGGAGCATATTGCAGTGTGGGCAGAGAACACACAACCCATTATTCGGAAGAGAGAATTTATTTCGAAGTCTAACTGTTTTGTGCCTCATCGTGATATGCAGTATATGACCTAAAACATGAAGTGCGCCTAAATTTACGAAATACCTCAAATTACTCGGAAACCGGCTCAGATTGTCGACCGAAACTCCTAACTAATAACGAACGACTTTAAATGAGATGAAAACACTGAAGAAATATTAAGAGTCATATTAAGTTGTTTAGAAGCAACGGTTTTTTTGAAAAAAACGGAAGTGCCGAAAACACGAGAAACCGTGCCAGATGAGTAAACTTAGCTTTTAGAAATGCATAAAGCCTCTCCGTGAGTAAGCGAAACAGCACAAGGATGATGACGTTTGCAAGTAGTCCCTTGGTGCACGTTTAAATATTCCGGCTAGATTAGTGTAACATTAATTGTGACGGTTAGCCGACGGCCCACAGTATAGATTCCAAAACGGTTACGCTGGATTCCGTTGTAATTTTTCTGTTTTTGCATTGTTTGAAATGCGGTTGGTTTTGGTGAAGGGGATTTCGCATGATTTCGGAGCGATCATATAGATTCCCATCATTTTTAGTGAAACAGATCACACACTGTAGGTGGCTGCCTAGGCGCTTTCAAATTCAGTTTTCGGGTCATTTGCATGATATAGTCAAGGAATTTGTCTAGCCCCTGTGCCATAATGTACCAGTCAGGGACTTCATAAACGTATGTTCTGATAAGTTGATTTGTATTTCTTCCTATTTCTTGTTCCCCATTTGACCATCTTATTTGTGGGAGGGACCTTTCCACCTATTATTCGTTTCGCCGCTCCACCGCCCCCAATCCATCCATCAAGAGGCGCGGAGGGATGAGTGTTTGATGTTTAGTGAAGGCAACTTTTGCGGGCTGCCACGACCACTGTGCCGCTGTCCAGCACCCGAACGAATCCGCTTGTTGTGAATCCGCGTCGTACCATTTCTGACACACTGACCTGATGGCTCGATCGAACATCCGGACCTTGGTACAAGCACCACGTTGCACAACTATTCATCAGGTTGTACAACGTGTCTCGGGCTAGCAAACTTCATCTGGTTATTAGCCCACGGGGACACGCACACTGAAGCATGAATTAATACTTATCGCACGTTCCGACTCGCCACCAGTGACACGGGCACCCGAGATATCAACTCAGGATTTTGTACAGTATAAAGCCCTCCATCTGGTAGCTCAGTTTGTAATGGTTGAGGTACACCCATTGTCTTAACCTATGGACCTTTTACTTGCCCAAATGCACTGATCTTACGGACGAATAAACTGATGTGCTTATTGGTCTAAATGTATGATTGAAGACCATAATTCCTGGGCTAGGGCACCATGGAGTTCACTGAAAAAAGTGTAATAATTTCGTGTTGATGCCACAGTGCCCATGTTTTTTCAACGAAGCAAGTACTCTTTTGGAACTGCCGACCGACCACCATTTTCCAAACGAACCGTACAGACACTAGTATGGGCGTCGTTGTTCGTGCATTTCCTTGTGGTACTGTCCGATCAGAGTGCTCGGCTCCAAAAATGAGTGGATCTGTGACGTCACACCTTATCAACGTCTACACTGTCTGTCGTGAGGTCTGTCCAGGTAAAGTAGCACAATCAGGACGGGCGGTGAAATGTCTAATTAGCCGCTGTTCACGATCTTCTCTTCGGTCAGGTGGGCTCAAGCCTGCCAGGAAATGAGGTACAGGGTGCAGAGGTCTCACTCACTGTGGTCTAATTGATGCCCAAGTTCATACCGCCCCCTTCCCCTCACTTCACGGTGCTTCTCATCGATTTCGACGAACCAACTCCCGCTCAATGAAGATGTAATAACGAATTTTCCTAAGTATCTTGCTCCAGTAGTAATCCGACCACTTCATTTTTTCTGAGTAAGCAGTTCTGAAAACTGGCTCTTAGATTGAGTACTTGTATGATGAGGACTTTCTCCACCTTCTAGGCCAAGAGGTTCCTGCCTGTGGACCCCTCTCACTTGACGGTTGCTGCGCTTCCCTGCTAAATCCCACACAGGTCCTTATCTCGGCCCGCAGTGGAACCTTTTACATTCTCACACTCTGGTTAGAGAAGGCGACCAACACGGTTACAAGTCTTGTTCTCTCTGAGGCCGGCACATTTACGCCCGCGGAGTCGGTAGGTTCCTTTGCCGATATCGCAAATTTAATGGAATATTTCTACGTCGAACGCTTCAACGATACCCGACATCCCCCCCCTT